TAAAAATCACAGCAGCACCAAACTTTCAGTGATTGATCATCATCAGGTCCCCTACAATACCCAATGGTCAAATGATGACATCACTTAGGCCACGCCCCCTGAAAACAGGAAGTGTCATGTTTTACTGTAAACTGTCGTTATCTGACCCCTTTGACCTAATCAACATGAAACTGTGTCCACAGACAGAAAACATGTTGGTGTGTCATGGATTCCAACCCTGTGCAGACTGACATAAAATGAGATGATAATGACCTCTGTCATGATGAACTCTACTGACCCGTGGGGGCGTGGCAAAATGGCTGTCCCTCGCCATATGCATACGATCGTCTCTTATTCACACATGCATCATCCGATTTACACCAGACTTTTTATGAGTGACACTTGTGAACCTCTAAGGAGCCCAATAGAGTTTAATTGCAATTTGACTCCACTGCATTCATGTTTATGACAGTGTCATGACAGTCTTATTCAACCCCCTTCAAATAAAGTTTTACCCAAGTATGTTTACAGAGTCATGGATGATGAAGCTGTGGGCAGGGATGTTTTTTGTTAAGAAGCCTCTGACTTCAGACTACAGTTGCATTTCCATTGACTATAAAATTGGCAAGTTGAAAGTACTCAAATAAATTAGCTTAACAGAAAGATGGCAACTTTTGAAAAAACTCATGTTTTTCAACAAAAAGTGTTTGCTCTAGGATTAGGTGGTTTTTCAGTTCTATCAAAATTTGCATGTTTTACAGAACTTCAGTGGAAACTTTTGTAGACAGCAGCATAGTGCTTCTTTGTAAGGATTAGCCTAGTTTAAGTCTCACAGCATCGTGCAGTTCATCTAAAGTTGTCAGTCAAACATGTTGAATCTATAAGCTCTTCTGCAAAATCACAGAATTTTCCCCAAAACGCCACACATACAGCCTCTCCAAAAAGCTGGAATAAAATGTGTCTGATGTCTCAGATATCATGTATCTGTTTACATCTGTTACTGCAATGATTTTTAATGCCTTATCACGTGAACAGGTTTCTCACACATGATTTTTTTTGGATGTTTGGATTTTTTTTTAAATTAAATTACATCATAGAGCTGCATTTGAATGGTTTAGCTTTGTAGGACTTTTATATACCTTTCAGAATCAAACTCAACAGCCACCCTGATAACAGTTTATCTTGTTTAAACTCTTCAGGTATAAAGCAACAGAAAAAAAGTGACATGCAGCATGTCATTTAGTGATTTGGAGAGTTTACTAGTCCTTAATGTGCTTTTCAGGAACAATAAAGGCTCAGAGGATCAAAGAAGTGGCTGTGACAAGGACATGTGCTTTAAAAGGTGGAGGGTAGCGTAAATGCTAGTAACAGTCATTTAGGGCACTTGGAGTTAAGGAGTAATGATGGTCTGACAGCCTCTAGCTGTTTGGAGAAAACGAGACGTGAGCAGTGGCTTTGAACATCAGCCAGATGATTTTGTAGCGAGATTCCTGCTCAGTCGGAGATTTAACGGTGCTTCGCGAGGTATCTGAAGCATTAAATGCGACAAGCTTTAGTCCCGGTTGGAACGCCTTGCATCATGTTTGTCTCATTATCCCACCACCCAGTATAACGGAGAGAGGGGAGGTAAAACCTTTTTTGGATGAAACTGGTGCTGCTGATAGAGGTGGGGATTTGAATGCACATCTCTCTGTAAGATGTCTGATTTATCATTCCAACTGGCCAAGGAAGGGAAAAACAGAAACAGAGGTGTGAGGTGTAGCCTTGAATCCCTGGGTTTCTCCTTCAGATAAGAGGGTGACTGGACAATAAGACGTCAGGCTCTGATCAGTTATCCCACACTGCCATCTGTGGGCAAAATAGTGAACACCATGTCTCAACAAGAAAAACAACAACAACAAAAAAAAAAAGAATCACCTCTTACATAAGTGATCATGTATGAGCTGCTTCTCCACAAGGCACTCGATCGACTGAAGATGTGGATGTGACCCACATCCACTGCTCAGACACGCCGAGTCAGAGTTAAAGACACGGAAAGGGAGATGGAGGCCACCGTCTTCTACGTCCTGCTGCGTTTCTCCTGGCTCAAAACCGGTACATGCATAATTCTTCCACCCGATCCCATCTGTTATAGGAGAGTAAATCCTGGCAGAGGAAATTTATCCACAGCCAAGATTTATTTACTGGAACCAACTTTGAGTTTTTGTTGTGAAGCAGTCTGTCTCTTTCTGCCTCTCATTCTGCTCTCCTCCTCTCTCCTCTCTTCCCTCTCCTCCCCCACTGTGCTAGCTGTCCCACGGGCTCCCCACTACCTTGGCCCTGGTCGATAGCCACTAATGAAAGGCGCCTTTATGAAGGCATCAGCTGCTTTCCCTCGTGGGGTAAGCGGCTCTAATTTGAAGTAATGGCTATCGGCTGAGCCACTGATTTATTGAGCTGATGATTAGTGCGCGGTGTGAACACCGGCAAAAAGGAGGGAGGAGACGAGGATGGAAAGGAAAATATAGAAGGGCAGGAGTAGAGCAGGATGGAAAGGAAAATATGGGTGGTAGTGGCTGTGATAGTGGCACAGTGTTGGAGTACGTCATCAGGGGCGCCTGCAGGATATTATCGGAGTGTATGCATAACACCACCGCTGCACCTGACCCACAGCCACATCACCAACTCACATCATGTTGCACAACGCCAGCACAAACCTAAACCACACAAATACAGGCCACATGCACGTAATGCGATCTAATAGGCTTTTTTTTTCTTTTTTTTCTTCATAATTCTTCAAATTGTACTAAATAATGAAGACAGGGAACAAAGCCTGTGTGATCGATGGGAGGTGGAGGATGGAGATCTCCAGATGAAGAGTCTGAGACATCCAGAGGAGGAGAAGGTGAAGCAACAATGTTTCATTTCTACTCTTTTGGGAAAGTTACTGGATTTAACTGCTAAACTCGCCTTGGCGTGACACTCAGGAAGAGTGCAGCAGATGTCATGGTAGGTCAACCGGGTGACCCATTAACTCCTCGGTTTGCAAAACCACACTGTGATGGCTGCAGTTACAGCCACACAAATGTGGTAACATTCACTCTCACCACACGCAATAGGTTCATCTCACTTATATTTGGATTTCTTTAAGTTTAGGATTTAATTTACAGAATAACTGGTTTTGTTTAGAAAGCAACACATCACATTGTATTCTAGAATAAGTGCGCACATTCTAGTTTATATTGTTGTGTTTTGCTTGATTTAATCTTTGTTTTGTTTCTTAAGTGCTGGCTGCCCCAATCCTTAGGAGAGCAGAGAGGTGGAGAAGGGGTGGAGCAAGCCAGTTGAGACTGCAAATTGGTTCACACCACTACGCATCATCCAGAGGGGGGGAATGGGATTTTGTTATGTTAGTTTCAGTTAGGTTTCTGTGCATTTTCCCCTTTTGTGTTTTGTATGTGGCCTGATCAGCCAGTATTTAAGTCCCCTTTTGTCTCTGTTTGGTAGGTCTGTTTTTTGAGTTAGTCTGAGTTGATGTCTGTTACTTTGACCTCTTTTATGGGCCCAAATTTTGTCATTTTTTCTATTTACCAAAGTTTTGTTTGGGTTAAATAAAAAAAAACAACTATTTTGACTTTAAACCAGTGCCTGGCTGTTCCTTAACTGCTCGGTCCATCACACACACAAAAAAAATCTGTTCAACTGAGTACCTCCCCAGAACAGCACACATGATAAAAAGCTCAGGCGCGGTTCACTCGACCTCTCTTAAGACTACGGGAGGGTTAAAACTCTGGTAATTCATTTTAGCTAGCTTCACTGCATAGTCACATTTAGCTCACGGCAGGAGTGCCAAGTTGCCAAATAAACAAGAGAAAACTGACCAATATCATTCAGATTTAGGATGGATACCCCACAAACTCACACAGATGTGGACTACGTACAAAATGTTTTCACACGAAAAACATTTTTTCTCCTCTATTTTGATCACAATAAAAAAGGTTAGATAATATAAAAAAATTCAATAACTTTTATTTACTTAAATGAGAATCTCAAGGTATGCACAGTGTGTACAGCTGCAGGTGCTATTGTACGTTATGATACCAGAGTCAATATTTTATAACAGCTTCTTCTAGTTTTATGTTCTATTAAGGTTTATACATGTGTATTGCTGGAAGAACTGGAAGCTCATCAAATCTAAATTTCAGGAGTTAGCCTGAATATTAGTAGGATGACCAATTCTGGACAGTGACCAGCCAATCAGTCGTCAATCAAGGTGAGCTATTTTCAGTATCTGCTCACACTCCTGCTCCTTAATTGAAGTAAACATTGTATACAAAAATATTGAATTTTTTCAGTTCATTTTAACAAAGTTCAATAATGTGTAGACTTCAGTTGTGGGTGCACTGTTTTTTTATTTTGCTAAATCGGAGGGAAACTTGTAAAAGTAAAATTTTGCTTATGTTACAAATACACTTAAATGCTGAAAGTGCTTCCTGGCCATCAGCATATAATTACCATCAGACCATAACGTCTCCCTCCACCACTGCTTGCTTTCCTGCTGTGCAAAGAAAGTGCCTACTGTGAAGCAAGAACCAAAAAAATATCCTGCTGGCTTATTTCTTTAAGCCAGGCACTCAGTTTATGTTGTCAGAACAGAAGTTGTGTGGTTTGAACCAAACTGGGTCAGATATTGTGACCTAGTTTATGGGGTTGGATGGGATGCTAGAGGAAGCCTCATCTTTCTTCATGGAACCTGAGAAGAGTTCACTGAACCGCCAAAACGGAACAAAACAAAATTGGTAAGATGTTAAAATCTTACCAAATCTTGGTGAGTTTGTCACATCAAGGTCAAGACTGTTTATTTAAGAGAACATTAAACTTTTACCTTCTAAGTAGTTGCTGGCAATTCAGTCACATTTGGACTGAGTAAATACTCAAAACTAAATAATTACAGCTTCTTAACCTATTTATGTTTTTTTGCAAATGGGTTTTACTCTCATGAGTATAATTTAGTTTTAGAGTTTTAACCAAAGTATTTGTCAGAACAAAAATGTGACTCATTGTAAACAGTATATGTATCATATATATCACTTAAATTGCTTTATTGTTCATTTGTTTATTTATTTATTTTTATTTAATTATTTATCTATTTATTTTTTTAGTGCAGTGGATTTCTTTATCTGGGACCTGAGTACAAATTTCTTACCACAAACTCTCAAGATGGTATTACAATAAAAAATCCTTTAATATTCGATGTCTTGCTATCCGAGTTCAGCTGTCTTTAGGCTACATGTGGACTGGGTTTGAGCGGCAGACGTACAACAAAATGAATGTTTGACAAAATTATTCACAGAATGAATCAAAGGTATGTTCTGGTGAGTTACTTATTCAGATGGGTTTTAACTTCAGGAAGCCTGGTTTTAAGTTACATTGTCAACAAAAAAAATGTCTTTTTGTACAATTGTCATAAAGTAATGAGATTGCTGGAATCTTATTGCCTGAGGTAACAATATTTTTATTTGTTTAAAGGGTCATTTGTTTTCTTTGAATTTTTCTACTTAATCTGGGAGATATATGTTTGAATGACAATGTTTTATGAATTACGTATGCGATGCTGAAAGAGGAGCCGGCTGCACATTGTCCAATGAAACAAAAACAAACCGTCACCCTCCAACCACTTCCTGTTGTCTTCATTGTTTCCACCAGCAGTAACATCCGGGCTGTTTATCACATAACCCATGTGATGCGAATAATGTGTTTCCATTGCAGTTTTGTGAAGTACATCTATTTGATATGACTGAAAAACCACCAACTATTTATCGAAAGACTTGAGGTTTTTTGTTTTGTTTTTTCTTTTTTTCAAAGTTGTAGTGTTTCCGTTAAGCCATTTTATTTTTGTCATTTCAATTTGTGTGTTTCTGTGGTTATTGTTAATGCAGCCATTGAGCCAAACTGCTAAAGCATTATGTTTTAATGTGTCGCTGAAACCTAGGAACAAAAATTCACCTCCACAGAGAACAGAGACAAACATCCAGGAGCGCCAACATGTCTGGGGAGAAAAACAACCTAGTAGGTTTTTTTTACAAGTACCTCAGCTTCCTCGTCAAAGGGAGAGCGGGGGCAGAGTCAGAGGTTCTGTGCAAAATGACCACATCAGATTTGTCATTGCCCAGTAATGAGGTAAAAAGCCTCAGTGAAGAACCAAATAAGTCTAAACGCCAGGAGATGACCTTTGGGGCTATAATCCCCCAAAGCATTTAATGTTAAAACTGTTCCATGGGTTCAGAGTGACTGAGCTGAGTGTGTTTTCCTCTTCTTTAATGAACAGAAGTAAATATTTTATATTGAGTCATGTTCTTTCAGCTGCGTCATTAGATTAATAATAAGCATTAACAGTTTAAAGAGTAATGGTTGTCCCCATGTTTAAAATGCTAAAGAAACAAAATATTGAAAAAAAACTTAAGCCAAGAGATTCCTTGTTTTATTTAAATATAGTTTTCAAAAGTATACACACCTGTTTTAAGGAGCAAGGCCTCTGTTAAGTAAAAAAAGACTTTGATAATTAATTTATTTTTATATATATAATGAGACAAATATCTTAAAATTATTTATTTCAAACAGATTTCTAAAAATAAGAAGAAAAAAAAAACAATCAGTAGGGGAGAGAAAACATGTGCATCAATAACCAAAAACAAAATAACTTACCACTACTTTTCTGTTGGAAATCCTACCCCTTATCTCAGTTTAATGAAATATAAGACTTACTGACTCAATAATGATAAAAAGTGTGTAATTAAAACTGTTATAATACTCATGTGCCTGTTCCATATACTGTGCCAAAGAGCCATTCATTTAAAAAGAAACTCTTTTGAGAGGATATGAAAAATATCAAACCTATAATATCCTTTACAACATGAAATATTTTGCTGTTTTTCAGTTTCAGTCTTCTTGAGCTCACCCCTGCAATCATTGACATTCATATTTAATAAATTGGAATATACATACTGATGAGCCTCGTTTGTCAGATTAAAAGTACCTTTTGAAAATTACAACCTTCTAAACAGGTATTAAATGTATTTCTTCAAAAAAGAATAAAAGAAGTGAGTGAAAAGGTCAGAGGGGCTGCAAACAAGTTCTGGACACAACTAACTGGCTGTATTGTTCTTCTGTCCAGTAGAATGACAAACCATAATTACAAAAAAACAAGGTGTGGTGTGGCAAATTAAATATGAAACAAGCCTTGCTGTGTCAACGGGAACTGGAGCATTGCGTATGTCATGGACAAACGTTAGCGATTGAGTAAAATTTAAAACTTCAATACAGCCCACGCCTCCAGGAAGCAATCCTTTTGGAATAGCAGAGAATGCAGACCCTCTGAATGAAATGTAGTGTGGAACAAGGGCTTGGTTTTTATCAGGCTATCCAATAGCTAACACTTTGACCTTCCACCAACTGGAAGGTCAACTAATTTTAGTTTTGGAAGGACAGGAGACAAATAGGAATGTTTATTTTTCTAAGTAATTTCTAAGTAATTTATTCTTTAATAGCATACTTTTTAACTTTAAAATCTGCTGAGCCCTCAGTATCTTTAAATCTACTTAAAGAACCTCAGGCTTAGCAACTGGAGTTGGAGTCAAAGAAGGGACTGGAATAAAAGATGGAGGACACCTACCTCACACACACACTCATTCATACAAATATCGGCTTCGCTGGCTGTATAGGATCAGTCCGCCAAGGCAGCCGACCAGACCCAAGTTCCAGTGCTGACGAAGCAGCAGCAGCAAACAGAGAGCTGGCGCCATGGCAATACCCAATAGGCCACAACAACAACATCAATAATAATGCAGAATGTCTGTTTCTTAAATTTAACAACGCATACAAGAGAGAGGGGTGAAGAGAATCCGGCGTTACCGGGGGAAGAGGCTGTTCCACATCACCACCGGCAACTATCGAGAGGAGAATAAAAGTTTTATCATCCAATCAGCCATCTAAGACAACTATCACTATCACTCACCTCTGTGTTGATCTGAATTTATGCCAGTTTGGCCTCCATCAGGACCCTTGATCTGAGCCTGGCAGTTCTGGTGGATCCCCAACCCAGAAGTGAACGGTTTGAGCAGGTAGGATAAAGAGAGGGAGAGAGATAGAGGTCACCTCTTCGTCACCACAGAGGCATGGTGGTGCCTTAGACACAACAATCATACCTGCCACAATACATTTAATCAAATTAAATTTCACTTTCCATTGTTAAATCTGGTCATTTGTTTGAAACTCTGCAAAAATATTGCAAACTAACCAACAGTTGCATCTACTTTGCTTATTTTCAGCAAAAGCAGCTGGAGCTCTCTATATTCCCAGCATTGAATTGATTAAAAACGAGAAGTGATATTTCCCACCGCTCTGCTGTTGTGATGTCTGCAGCTTCGGATGAGCCGAGCCGGAGCCGGGGCCACAGATAGGAGTCACGTTTTCATTAAAGAGGCTAATGACGTATGGAGACAAAAGGTGCTTATTAGCTGCAGGGAAATCTATTAGACATGAGCTGGAGGCCACTGTGATAAGGAACTGATTACAAAATCACTGAAATGAAAATGACTTGGCAGATAAGTACAACTTCTGCACTGATTTCCAGTCACTCTGGAAGTTTAAGTTGATGTCACAGATTGAAATGGGGGGAGGCAGTTGGAGGAACTGAGACTTCTACTTATGGGAATGGATTTGTTAGATTACTTGTCAGCAGTCAGTAGCTGCATATCCATTACAAATCTTTGTCTACATTCTGTTAATGTTGAATAAACACAATTTTGCAATAGCAGTATTTTCATTAAATAAGCGATACAAATTTAAATCACAAGTGAATAAACTTGTCACCTAGTTCTACAGTGCTTCACTGAGAGAATATTTAAAATACTGCTTATACTTTAGAAATCACTGCTTAAAGATCTGCTGTTGTTGGATCAACCTTCCAGACCTCTCAGGTCTTCTAGTTCTGGTTCCACTCTGCATCCCCAGAACTTTGTCTGAAAAGACACGATATCCAGTAACTTGTTAGTCTTTCTGTTATTCAAGGACAAATTACAGTTTGTGTTCACATGAGAGACTGAGATAAGCTCAAACCAAATCGAGCAATAAAACAGCTCCATAAATCATCATGTCTAATCACAATTACTCAACTAGCCAACACTAATGTTTTCTGCAATCGCATGCAGATATCTTCTAATCTGAATCATAGGGTCATGTCATGTTGAATTTTGTGTGTATGCATGGATCAGCTGGGGAACTGATCCAGAATGTCCTCTCCACGCTTGGAGAGGACATTCTCCAAACATGGACTTCACAATCAGGACAGAGTTCCTCCTCAGGCAAAGTCATCAGCTAACCACTGGATCAGCAGTCATTGACTAGATTTTTGCCTTGCTATGTGATTAAGCATAAATATACTGGAAACTATTTATTTTTTTGTGTGTGACAAGGTATTTATCAAGAGGCCAGCAGGTGTCCCATCAGCTTTTGGCTAAAGTAAACCTGAACTTACATCTGGTACTGAAAAATGATTAACTTTTCTGTTTAGGTTTTACAGATAACAAGATGATCGATATGGACCTGATCTGATTCAGAATCTGTACCAAACCCGATACTGATGTCAGTTTTTTTTCTGGATGTTAGACTGAAACCAGTCCAAATGTGTCCTTGGCATCTCCAAGTCATATTTTAATTATGTAGCAGCTAATTATGTCTTAAATACTCAGTCTTACCAATTACAAATAAATATATATTTCAAACATATAAATAGATGTATCATTTTATATGGGGTTGATTATTGATCCTGTTACAGAAGCCTTGGTGGACACTCCGCCAATAGCTGAGGCAGTTTTCTGCAGCTCAGCATTATCTTCCTCTTCATCTAATTTAGTATTAAAATAGAGAAAATGAAAAACCTAGAAATTATTGAACGGAATATTTGCTAATATATTCATGGCTTCTACTTGTTCAAGTCAGGCAGTTTGTTTGCAGAAGTAGCTCATCTAGATGGGGCTTATAAGCTGCATTTCTTTGTCTATATTCTACCAATGTCAAAAAAATGTAATTGCCGTCTTTCCATTAAATAAATGGAATTAAAATCACAGATGAATAAGTTTTTCACATATTAAGTCACCAAAAACAGTTGACAGGTTAAATAGAGACAATGGTGCTGACGGTTGTGGGAGTTCGCCCACAATCAGTAGGTTGCTGGTGGTGGTCAGAGGACCTGGTGGCACCCAAGGCAGCCATGGATATATGTGTGTGTGTTTGTGTGTGCGTGTGCATGTGTGTGTGTGTGAATGGCTGATTGACTGACTGTAGTGTGAAGTAGTTTGGGGTCCTCTGTAATGGTAAATGACTACAAATACAAGCCATTTACCATTTCCTCACATATAAACCGCACAATCTGCTGCTACTGTTAGAAACCATGTAAATTGGTCATAAGTTATTAAAAACACTTTAAAAATGTTAACAGTATACTCAGTTTTTGCTCAAAATATCTTTTTTTTATTGTACTGTTTGGATACACTTCTCTCAGCACCTTTTCTTTATAATAATTAAAAATAGGTCACAGTAGGAAGGCTTGTTTAATCACAGTGTTTCTAATAAGTAATTTTGTCTCTGTAGCAGCTAATTATGTAATTATCAAGTTTGTAATTATACACTGGAAGGTACACAGCAAATTTGGAAGTGTTAATTCAACTCCTAGAGAATGGAATTCAACACTTTGTAGATGTCTATATTGGTCCACTCTTGATTGTGTTAAAATGACATTTCTGAAAGTGTTATTTGTGATAGAATTGAAACATTCTCAGTAGTTGAAATTTAACACACAGTGTTGATTTACCCAACACTACTGTATAGTGTAAAAAATTAACACTATGAATGTGTTAATTTAACACAGAATAGTGTTAAATATAGAACACAGAAATCTGAGTTTTAAAATGCTACTTGTAGGGTGAGCTCTGGTGGCGCAGAGGTTAAGCACAACCCACATGTGAAGGCCTTAGTTCTCAATGTGGTTGTTGCAGGTTCACTTCTTGGCTTTTGCTGCATGTCTTCCCCCTTCTCTCATTACCCACTTTTCTGTCAATTCACTATCAAATAAAGGCCACAAGAGCCAATAAGACGTTTTTTTTTTTTTTTTTTTTTTTCCAGAAAATACCACTGGCCATCAATAATCCCCAAATTAATTTTAAAAGACATTAGATGCCACTTGAATCTACAAAAACACTAGCACCAGTTGCAGTACATAATCTACTTTATTTCAAAACAACAAACAGCACTGACAGCAATATATCATTCATGGTACTTTGCACTGAAGATGAAGTGTGCTTTGAAAGTTTATCAAAAGCTACCATGAATGGTAGCTTTTGGTAGAAGTAGATGGTAGAAGTGTCTTTGGTGCTGCTCTTGTTTTCACAAACGCAGGAAGAAGGGCTGCCCTTGTTCCACAACAATGAGAAAGGCTTCAACACTGGCTCCCATCTTTGACAAAATGCTAAGAAGACGAATAATAAAAAATATTAACTATATGTAGCACAGCTACATTCAAATGGCAAATGAAGCCAATAAGAAAGTGCTTCTACAAAGAAGTAGGATCATTAGAATAACCACATACCTGCACATATCTGACAACATGGTCCACAATTTGACATGAGCCGTTTTGGATTCTTCTTGGGGCCTTTGGACGTAGGAAGAACCTATTGGAGAAGAATTAAGATACATTTTGAAAAGATCTCTGGCTCAATTTTCTTCTCTCAGATTCCAAGATCTCCCAGATCTCACGTGGGCCTAAGTGAAACCACACAGAAAACAATCAGTGCTCGACGTCACAGAGTTTAATCAAAAACAAAACGAAGCATGAAAATTAAATCAGAAAACTGCAAAAAAAAAAAAAAAAAAAATCAGAAAGCAGAAAGGGAAAAATGCCAAAATAGAAGAAAAGCAAAGACGAGTCTTTGGAGAGTGCTCATGCATTTTGCAAGAGCAATCTAATTCGTTCCTCTGTAGTGCATAGTTTTATCCAAAAGGGTGTTTCCTTGTTTTTTTTTTTATTTATGCAATTATGCAAATAGGGCGTGTCCTCTCCTTGCATAGCTGAAACCAGTTTCAAATTACTAAGTTGGGACATTTTATTACCTTCCAAGATCGGTTTAATTTCAGAACTACAACGCTTCTCTCTCTGGACAAGGGAGACCAAAGGTAATTTTAGAGCAAGCTTTTCTCATGTGAGTTTGAAACCTGGACTTTCTCAAGTTCTCAAATTGAACAAAAGATTCTTGTTTTAAACCAGAGTTCACCCAAAGGTATTCTTGATTTTATTACCTCGCCAAGCAATATCCAAAGACGGGTCCCTGCAGCAACTTTAACAGTGACAGAGAGAGCCTGGCACCATCAAGTCATTCAGAACTTCTCCATCCTCTTGGATCAAAGCATCAATTTGAAGAATTAAAACACTTATAGAGTGTACCTGAACATTTTCAATAGAAACACATTCATTCTAGACATTTTCTAATTATTATGCTAATTTTGATTATATTTAACTAACGATATTACCGTTTAGCCTACGTTAGAGACTACAAGTAGTTAATATAAAACTACAAATTAGACTGGTTCAAGTCATGTTAATTTTAACTAAATGGTATTCTACTAATTAAATTGCAATTATTAAAAGTATTATGTGTTAGTTTGTTTTTCCTTAAGTTTTAGTGTTTCTCTGTGGAAGATGATGTTAAGAGTTGTATTTACATAAAAGTTTTAGAATAATTTTTCTGGTGGGGAAATGGCATCAAATCCGGACTAGACCCTTACTGGAAGACAGGGAGATGATTAGTGGGCATGACTGGATAATCGAATGTGCAGAGGAAGGAGTCTGGATCGTACTTTATGAAGCGGGGGAGGCGAGCGAGGAGGGGCGCAGAGCATCCACAGCTCCAGTGGTTGGCTGCTTGCCGGTGGACTGGGTGAGTTGTGACCGGTTTGGCTTTTCAGGTTCCTCGGCTGGATTAAATGGACAGTAGGAGGGTGGACAGGCAGGTGAGGACTGGAGGTGAGCCACGGATGTTTCAGAACGGGAGCAGCGAGGAGGACGGGAGACAGACGCCGCAGGAGGAAATCCCCAGGCCAAAGAATCAGCGTGACGCTGGGTACCTACAAGAAAAGAGGAGATCAAAGGTAAGACGAATAGTAAGTTGTCTGTGAGGACACAGCGACCGTAGTAGTACCACGAGTAGTAGTCAACCATCTGGCATCTGTCTCTTCTTCTCTATTATGGTGGATCGCAAGCAACTTTAAGGTCCATGCTGCCACCTACTGTACACGAGTGTGTAGCAACATTTCTTTACATCTATTAAATTCTATTTTTTAATCTTGTATTTTGAAGAAAAACAAATCATGCTTTTCTTAATCTATAAATATCCATTATGTTTCCTTCATTTCCCAATATTCTTTAAAGACTCCGTTCTTGACCTGTCCTTCCAACCATTCTTTTCAATTTCTCCCTTTCAGATTTATGTTCTACAGTTCATCAATACGTGTTCTACATTTTCTTTCTCCCCACATCCTTCACATTTATCATTATTTTTCCTCCCCATTAAATATAAAATATAATTTAAATAGGTATGACCTACTCTTAAATTAATTTGATCATTATTACTACTTCCCTTCTGTTTCCTGTTTCTTTCATTAATATTTCTAATTAATACTGACTTTTGTACTTTATATAATCTTCTTCCTTTCTTATCTTCATTCCACCCTTTTTGCCATTTTTCTGGCATCTGTTTCTGGGAATCCACTCCTCTAAGTACTGCTCCTTGATGAAGGAAATGCATGACACCTGGAAGCCACACCTGCTCGTCACACCCTGCAGAGGAGGAGGAGTAGAGAGCAGACATCCAAACGCACACTAGTCTGTGGATTTGACAGCTAAATAATGTTAACTCAAGTGGCCTTCAGATTTTCCTGACAGTTCTAATGTTTGGTTAACTACCCGACACCTCTTGCTACCTGCTTGCCTAGCTTTAGCTGCTAACAAAAATAATAAGCAGTGCAGTCGTATACCGTGATATCCAAACAAATAAACGTACGTTAAGCGAACTATGTATATGAATCGATACTCTTGCGCAAACGGAAAATTAATGCATCCATAAAAAATAATCAAAAACTCCTCGGGCAAACACGTGACATCACAAATACGTTACAATGGGGTATATGCCATAGACATAATATAAGCATCGACGCCTCATGGACTGCTCCGGCGCAGGAAATACGGC